TCTTTATTTAACCCAAACCTCATCATGTGATCGTTTATCGGAGCCCTGACTCCCTGTTCTGTGGTTTATTTCTGAGTTGCATCTATAATTAACCTTCTACCACCTTATTTGACCTCTGATCAGTCTGCAGGCTGCTACAGGGTCAATTGACCCCAGTTAGTAAACCAAACATCGGACCCTGCCTGTTTTCATTTCAATCTTAACAGAAACTTGAGTTTAAGAGCACATACGTCACATTTTTATTAATTTTAGCAATATCATGCAAGACTTAATGGAAATGACTGTATAAACAATTAACTACCTTAATTACTAATAATCTAATTCAGTTTCTGATTTACTGGACTGAAACAGAGCCAAAAAGCAGCCAAAGTTTGAAGAAAATAACATGAAAAACCTACAGAAATACTACAGAACTGATGATCAAAAACACTTTAAAGCATCAGAAGAAAATCTGGCTGCTTAGAACAGAGACATAAAGAATTTAGAGGGCGTATCCGAGCTTTTAACCCGGCTCGTAAATCCTCTCAGTCTCATATTATGCTGTTATATTGGGAGATTAAATGAGGATCATAAAAACCCAGGAAATGATCATAATTCCTGAAATCAGAGTGTCATCATGGCCTCACGTTGACACCGTCCCCAGTCCGTCCGTCTCCAACCCCAGCAGCACTCCACGCTGTTCCCATAGCGACATAGACCGTCAGACAACACCGCCCGGTTGGTCCAGCTGCAAACACAGAGACACAACTAATAATGAGCATGTTTGTGTTTCCTGTTAGGGGCCGTCTTTTCTTCTTCTGCTGCAGCTGGATTATTAAAACACAAACAAACAAGCAGAGAGTCGTTCATTTCCTGTGTGGGACCAACATGGAGGGATATCTGCAGGGTGATTCCTGGGTTTCTGGCCTGCAGAGCTGTCCCGTCCTGCTCAGTGTTTGGTTAATGTCAGCTCTGCTAGTCCAGACCGGCAGAGGAGCATCCTGACATCTCCTGTTTCCTCCAGCCTGTCCCGACATGAATGATAGGAGCCGGAGACGAGGGGAGGGAGGGTGGCGTCGCCCTCGGTTTACACTCCCTCTGCATACTTTCCATCCCTCTGTCACACTTCAGCAATTCCTCAACCTCTTAGCCCCAAATTGTTTTGTTTTCCTCTCTTCTGTTTGGAGATCAGCACTGACAAAGCTCTGCAGGCGTTTTCAAACTTTTTCACAGTTTCAATCAGTAAAAAACAAAGAATACAAAATATTTCAACGTTTTTCTATTATTCAACCAACAAAATCTATGCAACATACTGATTTTTTTTTAAATAAATGATGCAAGGTTGTGTTTTTTGTTCCACAATCCATATCTGAAATGTGTGTTGCAGATGTAAACTGTAAGGAAACAGTAAAGAACCCTGCAGAGCTGCAGAGATCTATAGCTCAGCTGGGAGAGTCTGTCCACCATTATGCAGGAGAGGAAGGAAAGGAAACCACAGCTGAAGGAAAGCTGAGGAAAAAGGA